ATTTAACTTTAAATTGCTACATCATAGGCTTTTTAGGGAAACCAAGTCGGCCCAAGCCCCTCTTTGGAAAGTCTTTGGGGGAAAAAAAACAAAAAACAAAACAAAAAAGAAAAGAAAGAAAGAAATTATTGATTGCCCAAAGGACGCCTCGGAGGTTATTTCCGGGTGTCTATGAAACAAAAGCTTACCTAGGGTAGGGTTGTCTCTCGATCTTCCTCCTTTTGGACATCTCTGGATCCGTTCTTGTACACGGTACCGTATTTTACCTACTTACAACACCGATGTTATGTAAGTGGAAAATAAAGAATATGCCTAGTTAAATTTATGAGTTGTCGAAAATGAAAAACATAGGGTTAATGATTCAATTTTAAGAGATTAAGCTATTTCGCTCCATTCGAATTAATCTGAAAGCACTGTATAATTTTCGAAGAATAAGAGCTGTCTATTGAACTAAAATTATTAAAAGTAAACATTATAATGGATATTATAATGTTTGTAATGGTAGATGACTTCTTAGGACCCAGGCCTATATTACAATCACCTCCAAAAACTGTACTTAATGTTCCCGAACAGCTCAAACTCAACAGAATCAACACAGCTTTAAAATATAATGACTTATTTGTGTTTATTTCCGATATTCCTTCAATCGTCAAAACAATAGTGCTGATATGTATGTGTGGTAAACTACGAACAATAAGATAAAAGCAGGGTATAAGTAAAATGTTAAATCATATTATCATTTAAAGCCTACAATATTAGTCCTACTATAATATTCAGTCTATACCATATTAGTTAGCTAAATCAATTAAACATATAATTAACAGAATTATCGTAATAAAATCAAAGTGAGTAATTACCTGGATAGGGGAACTAAACTGGATAATTATGAACTATTCTTCTTATACTGTTGACACACCTTACTGTTACAAACTGAGAATATACTAAAGAAGGAATGTGTGGTTTTACACTTTTGCACTAAAGTGCTGCATTTGAGACGATATATTACAAAATATTCATGACCCTTGAGCAAAGGGTTAAGATGACTCACAGAGTCTAGCTCGCTTCTCTTAGTGTTGGGTATATACTAGGAGTCAAACTGACCAATCAAATTAGGGTATAATATTGCTCTACCAAACTACTTTCTATGCTAATGTTACTATGGCTTTCTACCTTCACAACATGGCTCCCTGCAAAATACACCTAAATTTAATAGCTAAGTATTTTGCACTTAACTAGATAAAAAAAAGGATTAAATATACGTTGGCTCCTAGACGGGGAATTCTTTGGTCTTAAGCTTCAGATGCTGGAACCAGAAGCACTAGCTTTTGGATTGGTCTATCAAGATAAGATGGGGCTTGTTTTCTTCTTCCCTTTTGGTCAAGATTAGGATTCCCGACCAGCAGTTTAACTTTTCGTACTAGACCATCGTCACTGGGATACACCAGGTCGACTCTTCCTAGCTGCCAATAGTTGCGTGGCTGGTTGTCGTCCTTGATGATAACTACATCTCCAATATGAAGATTTCTTTCAGGTTTCGTCCATTTTTGTCTAGGCTGCAGTGTTTGAAAATATTCTCTCCTCCAGCGATACCAAAACTCATTTGAGAGGTGTTGCACACGTCGCCATCTCTGTCTGGAGTACAGGTCTGGACGTTGAAAAATGCCAGGTGGGGGTAGCAAGATCTTCGACTTCAACGTCAGTAGATGGTTAGGTGTCAATGGTTCAGGAGAGTTGTGGTCTGACAGATTGTCTGTAGTCAGGGGTCTGGAATTGACAATGTTTTGTACTTCAGTTAGGAGTGTTCGGAAGGACTCGTCATCTAGTTGAGTACCTGTTTCTCTAAGGAGTGGTTCCAAGACTGATCTGACCGTTCGAATTTGGCGTTCCCACACTCCACCCATATGACTGGCAGCAGGAACGTTGAATTTGAAACCGATCCAATCACACTGTTGGCGAAGCAGGAACTCCATAACCTTACTCTGGTTAACTTCTTTGAGACCTTTCATCATCACATTGTTGGCACCCACAAAATTGGTCCCTCTATCCGACCTAATCTGTCTTATAGGTCCTCTTACATTTAAGAAGCGGCGTAAAGCGTTAATAAACGCGTCAGTCTCCAATGAATTAGCTGGCTCTATATGTATAGCCCTGGAAGACATGCACGTAAAAAGAACGCCATATCTTTTGACTTTGCTTCGTTTTTCTTTTATCTTGAATGGACCAAAGAAATCCACTGCGCAATAAGTGAAGGGTGGTT